AGCCCGGGCACCTGCTTTTCTGGGCTTTGATAAAGTACATGATCAGAAATGTCATGAAAGGTACGGAAATAGGCAGCCTCTCAGAGGCCTGAAGGACTTGCGTGTGGTCCTAGGGCGAAAGGGCTTTTTCACTAAGAAGGACCTGAAGGAAAAGAAAGCTGCACCAGGACTCTCAAGGAGGAGAAACATGGCTCAAGATTGATGTTGCAACACACCCCAATTGGCCTAGATACTTAAAAGCTACGCTTGTTCAGTTGAACTGTATAAAGGGCCCAGGCTCTTCTTTGGTCCTCTTTGTGGCTACTTTTGAGTAAAGCAAGGGTGACATGCCGGTAAAAAAAAAAGCCATCAGGCTGACTGACTTAGCACCTCCCATGCTCCACAGGGGTTCCTGCCGCTTGACCTTTGCCCACGCTGTACCCCCCACCTAGACCACCCTTCCCTCGCCTCAGGGTTCCCACCCTCCACCCTTTCCTCAACTCCTGCATCACCTCCTCCAGGGAGCCTCCCATAGCGTCCTCCGGGATGCCGAGACCTCTCCTTTCCCAGAGTGTCATCTGAGATAATGTGGATAGCCAAGGCTAATATTTCCGGCCCATTTCTGTGATTGTGCTAAGCACTGGACATAGGTTATGTAATTCAGGCCACACAGAGACTGTCACAAGAGGTACCACTGTCCACGTTTTATAGACTAGGAAACTGAGGCTCCCTAGAGAAGCTGCTTGGCTAAAGTCAGAAAACTGGAAAAGTGAAGTCCATCATCATCGGGCTGTCCATGCACGCACCTTTTTTCTCAGCCCTCTCCCTTCTTCCAGTGCTCCTTGTTCTAAACCCCTGGGCTCTCTCCTCTACACGGAGCCCAGCCAAGCCCTGGTTGCTCTGAAAGTATCTGTGTGTGGCGGCCTTGGAACCTTCCTCTGCCCCACATCAAACCCAACCTCGCTTTCTCAGTAATGGGGCAGGTCCTTTCTGAGCACACATTTCGGGTCTATTTCAAGGGAACAAAGGACTCTCCCAGCTACCAATTTCAATCCAAAAGCTCTCAAAGGCTTCTTGCTGTTTAGCTCCCACATCAGCAGCCCTTTCTGCAGATGCTTCTGTTACTGGTTGCTCACTAGGCCTGCACTTGGTGTGTGAGCAGGTGTGGGGCCTCTGGTGGCCCGCCATTCCCCACCCCTCCACCCGCCCGCACTGTGTCTTGGAAGGATCTGAAATACGGGACAACCCTGCTGGAGGGAGCAGAACCAAGGCATGGCTCCTTTTGGGGACAGCTCTCTGCTCTTTTAAAGCTTAAACATTTCAGAATTGCTTTGTCATTTTCAAAGGTTTGTTAGCGTGCAAAGCAAAGACACGGCAAAGGGTATGATTATGAGGTTAAATGGATTTTTAGCACCTTTTTTTTTTCTCAGTTTCAAAATGTGTGGACAGTTTCGAGATGCGAGGCTCCATTTTGTACAGAGGGGGCCAGGGTCTGATTCTTCAGCATCCGGGAGAGCACCCAAGGAAGAGCACAGTTTCCTTGTGAGCCAGAGGGAGTCAGATCTGCTAAGACGCATGTCGTGGGCTGAACCACGTCCCCTCCAAAATTCCTGTGTTGAAGTCCTAACTCCTAGCACCGCAGAATGTGACTGTATTTGGAGATGGGCTTTTTACAAAGGTGATGGCTGTTAAAACGAGATCATTAGGGGCGGGCCCTCATGCCATATGTCTGGTGTCCTTACAGGAGGGGACACGGGGACACAGACATGCCCGGAGGAAGACCACATGAAGACACAGGGAGAAGCCCGCCCTCCACAAGCCAAGGAGAGAGGCTCCGAAGAAACCAGTCCTCCCAACACCTTGAAGCCTTCAACGAATAAAGCTCCGCCAGGATTATCCATGAGACTTCTGGCCTCCAGCATCAGGAGACCAGGCATTTCTGATGTGGCAGCCACCGGGTCTGGGGTACTTTGTCACGGTGGCCCTAGAAAAACCACACCGATTTCACACATTGCAAACTACGGATACCCAGTTTAATCTGTGGCTCTCTGTGATCTGGACTCTTCCTTCGGTTGAGCCAGAAGTGATGCTTACAGTGGAGCGCACCTTATACATTTGGGCTCGGATTCTGCCGTTCCCTTTGAAAGCTACCTCCAAGAAGACAGTAGTGAGTCAGCCTCGCTGAGATTTCTACCTGTGGTTCTAGGAACTCAGAGGCATATTAGCATTCAGGCTTTGCATAGACCACTAAGCCACTTCTAAGAAGGAGGCTACCTGAGGGATTTTGCAAAAGTACGTCTGTGCCACCGCTTTTCCTTTCCACACCTACCACCGCGCTTCGGGCTGGCACCTCACACCTCATGAGAGGATGCACATCAGGGTTGTGCAAGAAAGTCGTGTCGCCAACCACGCGTGTTCATGCCAGGCAATTTTAATCACGTCTTACCTCGTCCCCGAGGCAAACGAAGCGAGCACTTGGCACGGTGTGGTGGGAAGAGCGTGGCGCTCTCTGTGGTAGACCACAGTCACTTTGCATGTCCTCTTTCAGACCCTTGCTTGCCTCTCACCGACTAGGGAACCGGGCTGTGCTTGGTCCCCCAGCTCTCTCTGTCCCGGCCACGTTTCACATGCGTACCTCGCCCAAAGTGAGTTATGGGTTTCCTTCTGTGAGGATTGCACGGACTGATAAAGTACCATCCCAGGAATAAAACAAGACGCCGTTTCCCCCTCTAGGTCCTAGCTGCAGCTGGGGAGGGAACACTCGCCATAAATTATACAAAGCACGAAGTGACCAGGGGGCTGAGCACTGCTACGGGCCGGTCTACGGGAATAGGGTTAAAACTCTGAGAGGGTGGTGACCAGATGGCACCAAGAACAATGACATTTTGCCACCTGTCTGGCACCACGGACTGGGGATGGCTAATCTGGACAGTGTCAACCCTCACCTTGGTGGGTCACCTTGATAAAATTAACTGGGGAAATTGCCAAGATTTCACTTGAAATGCAGTCTCCATATGATATTATTAAGGTAGAGATCATAAAAGCCCCAAGTTCCTTTTCCTGAGACCAAGGCGTGAACAAGGCCTTTTTCCATGAGGCCTCCTGAGACTTGATTCGGGTGTCAGGGCTATCTCCACACCGCTCCCCTGAAAGCGACCTGCCCCTTGTTCCTAACCTGGGGTGGCCCAGTGACCTCCATGAGCACAGACACTGTGGCTCTGTGTCAGGCCTCGTTCTGTGTCCTGGCATTTGAGCAGGTCCCCGTGTCCCTTCACTGTCCCTGCTGTCCGGCCGGTAATGAGCGCTTCGAAGGCAGCCCCGCACAGTGCACAAAATCCCATCTATTGCCTGGTGGAATATTTTCCAGCTTCCTGAACCTGCCTTCCTGAGTGGATAAACTAGGAAATAATAATGGCCTGGAGGGTATTGAAAGTGGAACAAAGTCAGGAAGATCTTTCTGTCTGTTATTCTGCGACTATTGCTTCCTTTGCTTGTCCGTGGCCTGGAGGAAATGCAGCCGGGAGCCATCCACAGCTTCTCACCAGCGGCCGGTCTCTCTGCCTCGGGAGCCCGGCGCTGCGGCAGGGACAGTGACTCACGCACATCGCATGATTCAACCTCACTAAAATGTCCTCAGCCGCCAGGAAAGACTTGCAAACCCTCTAATTTGAAGCTTTGAATCAGTTAATGACTTGCTCTCTTCCCCTCCTCCTGAAGTCCTCCCCCCGACCCTCAACATGCACGCACGCACGCACACACACACACACACACAGCTTTGTCAAGTTTTTAAATTTCAGGGACCCGGAAACACGGAGGCTCTGCGGCAATCATAATAGCATTGTTGTGACAAAGTGGCTGGCAGCGCTGTGCATTCCCCTGCTCATTTGGCTGTATGAATAAATAATGAGTCACAGATACTATTTGGGTGCGCGCGCGAGAGGATGTAGCCAGAAAATTAATTACTCCCCTGTCCCGTCCCACTCCACGCAGGCTCTGCCAAACCATGCAGCCACATCTCGCAGGCGTTGGTCAGAGTGCGTGCCCCGACACACGGCCATGCCTTCATGACATTTTTATGTTATTATGTTTGTTTGTTTAAGCACGGCCCTCTTTCCTCACCACAGATACACAAAAGGACATGCACACACATACTCACACCCTCCTAGCCGTACCTCCGACTACAGCTTTGCACATTTTTCAAGAGGCCGCTTGCAAAACTGCAGACAGGTTTTCCACACTGGGTGTTCCTATTAAATGGAAGCGCACAATCTAATGACCCAGAGCCGCGACACTTGGCTTAGGAAATTTCTTCATTGCTCTTTGCGAGAGAGACCTCTGTACAGGATAACTTGCATTTTTTGTTTGTTTGTTTCCTGCCCTGAAAGACGTTAGCTGTCTCTGTGCACAGCGAGGCCCCATCCTGGTGGTTTTTAACCCAGACGAATCCGCCTGTCTCCTGTACTCTCTGCCTTTAGGGGACAACCGAGCTGCCTGTCGCTTTGCCCCTGAAGTCCCCAGGCTGGTCTAACGTGTGTCTGGGCGCCCGGCCTCCACCCCCACCCCGCACTGGCACCCGCCGTCCTGGGCGGCTGGGCATGTGCCCGCTAAAGCCCGGGGCCGGCTGCAGGGTGGGCTCCGTGGTGTGCTGAACTCAAGACCCTCAGCCACAGTCCATGCAGGCAAGGGGCAGGAAAGAAAACCCGGGGAGCTTCTCGCCAGCTTTCTAATCTCTCAGACTTTAATCAGGAGCAGCCCAACTTACTTGCACTTGACAAAGTTCTCACACACCGACCGAACACTTCAACAGCTTAGCTAAGTATTTATTAAAACATTTCTGAAGAGCTGCCGTCTGATGAATAAGTAATCCAATAGCCTTGTAATCATACGCCTGGGTTTGAGTTCTTTCCACAAAACAGACGGGGAATCGGCCCGAGATACATGCACCCGGTTACAACAGGCTGCCATTTCGTTATCTGCAAAGCTGAGCAAAAGTAGGTATCAAAAGACCAGAGTGTACTCACCTCTCATGAAGCACTGTGGGTATGAAGGAAATGACTCAAATATGCTGTCTGAAGCCATCGCTTCCTCCTGAAAATGCACCCTCTTCTGAAGGCGGGGGATTCAATGATTTCTTTCACCTTTGGAGTGAAAACCAAGAAAGGTCACTGTTGTCACCTCATGCCCCACCATGGCTCCCTGCATCTCTTTTTTCCCCCCATACCTCTGGGGCTCCCTGAGCCCTCTGAAAAATGTACCTTTGAGAAAACAAATATTCAAATTGTTCAAGATTAAAAAAAAAAAAAAGCGGCGTCTTGGCTGTGGGTTGGTGATGCTCACCACTCTGCGAAACCCTGTGGTTTGCAGTCAGTGTGATTCGTCCTGCTTGCTGACCACTATGCCGGGCGCAGTTTTCTGCCACTGTCAGCCTACCCAACTTGTGGTTCTGTGGTTGTTTATGAGGCCCAAAGAAGTTTTCACACAACCCAAATTACAAATTTAACTGTTCCCCTTTCCACAGCCCATCTTAATTGGTTCTTGCCAATCATGTGACTTCAGTGATGTCAATTATTATCTTTTTTTTTTTTTTTTACTTTCTGAGCAATGCCCTTCCTTCCCCCCACCTGCCCTCCCCCAGGCTGTGCAAGAAAATAGCCGAGGAGAGTTTGCAAGAGAGGGATGGTAGAGAAAGGTGACTCAGTCTCTTATTATATCGATAGTCTTTGCTGATTTAGGACAACTTGGGTCCTGTTGTTGTTATTTGTGGTTTTTGGAACTACTGATTATTTTGATAACAATTTCATTGCTGCTTATTCAATAGTAATTCAACCCTGGCATCAAGCTGCTGTTCAGCCAGGATGTGGATCCCATCACTTAAGACGCTGGGCATCCACTCAGGAGAATCCAGCCCTTGGTAAAGGCTGTAACAGCCTAAGTGAAACTATAAAAGGAAAAACAGAATAAAAGGAAATGTTTTGCGGAGTGTCTGACCCCTCAAAGGGTCTAGCAACTTGCTGATACTGTAAAGTCGAGAAAAAAGGGGAAGCATTTGAATTTTGTGATGAAAAGACTGCTATAATAAAAGCAAAATTATGCGGTTTTATCCCTCCTAAATGAACATCTTTTCAGTAAAGAGATGAAATCAGAGTTCTCTCTTATGCACACACTGAAATTAGGAGTCTAAGGGAAAACAAAGAAAAGAGACATCCTGTATTTTGAGCCAAGGCAGTGGCTAACCCGAGACTGTTTATTTTTTGTTTTCACCTGTGGAAGTTCAGTGCCTTGCCTTTCTCTACTTCAATAGGCATTGACAAGCTAATTCAGACCTGTAGGTAAAGCTCAGTCTAGCTCTACGCTAACTACACATTGAGTTCGGTAAGAAGACTTCACAGCAGATGGAGGAACCAGAGGGGATGCTTCTCTGGAGCAAGCCCCTTCTCATGCGACCGACCAAAGAATATCCCATAGCTCATCCTCTACCTTAGGAAGAAGACATGCCCGTTTGGAGGTGCTAAAGACAGGGTGATCTTGCACGTGGGCACACATACTTATTTCTCTTCCTTGCTTGTCGCTTTTAAGTGCTAACAAAGTATTGTGCTTTGTGCAGTTCCAAGACAAAGAAAGATCTCCTTCCCTGATTTATTTCTTTATTAACTTTGCCATTCTCCACATACATTCTCCATGGCCCCCAGTACATACTACATTTCTTCTCTCTTTCTTTTTTTTTTTAAAGATTTTATTTATTTATTTGAGAGAGACAGAATGAGATAGAGAGAGAGAGCATGAGAGGAGGGAGGGTCAGAGGGAGAAGCAGACTCCCCGCTGAGCAGGGAGCCCGATGCGGGACCCGATCCCGGGACTCCAGGATCATGACCTGAGCCGAAGGCAGTCGCTTAACCGACTGAGCCACCCAGGCGCCCAGAAAAGACATGATTTTTACTTACTCCTGTTTTGACTAAGGCAGGAATTGAAACTCAAGAGCCTGCTGTCTTCCAGACTGGTGCGAGGTTAGCTTACCAAGTGTTGACACCTTATTAATATTTAAAAGAATAATAATGTATGTATTCCTTGTATGATATTTATTAATATCTAAACATGATGCATGTTTCCTGTTGCTTCTCAGTGCAAATCCCTTGTAGAAGATAATCAAGCCTATGTCCCCATGCTCCCTGATAAACTCAAGTCTGGGTTTGACCCCACATCAGTCTCTTTTCTGTCTTCTGTATGTACTATTCCCTGGAAGGGTCTTATGAGCTGAATGCTGTAACATGCAGCTGCCCCCTCAGAGCTGGCTCAGACTTATTAATGACTTAGCAATTCAAGTGGTGACACAGATAAATTCTGATATTTCATTTTAGAAACTCCCCAGATGCTTTCAGCCTTCGGTGTCCAGATGCTTGAGAGGAGGCTCTGGATGTGTCAGCGAACTGCCCGCATTCTTGGCTTGTCTTTGTGGGCCTCGCTAGAGACGAATATGTATCTCCCCCAGCAGAGTCTTCGTAGGACAGGTCAAGCTTAAAGATGACTCTAAGGCTGGGATTTGCCGAAGCCTCACCTTACGCCGTAATCGTCGGGGCCGGAGTTTCGACAAGGCACCAGGGGGCAGAGCTGAAGGCCTGCACCCCGGGCTGCTTTGCCTTCCTCCGGGTTATCTGCCATACCAACCACAGCAGAACCTTACAGCTTGGTGAGGCAACAGTTGGAGTTTTCTGGGCGTCCTCCAAGTCATGACAATAAGCAAAGCCTCAGCTGGCCTCTAGTGAACTTGACCTTACCACGTCCCTAGGAGCCCAAGACGAAAAGACACATAAGTCGTCAATGAGCTGCCTAGGGGAATACTCAATCTTATCTTAGCTGGAACTGTTGAGGATTCTTTAAGTTTGTGCATTGACCCATACCCTGTGACCTACTTCCTGCAAATGACTCAGACCCTGGGCTCCTGGCTTCGGAGTTGTACCCAAGCAGCTACCAACTGACTGTGGCTTTGCCAAGTCATTGGATGGCAGTTTTCTCAAATTGGCTAAAGCTTCTACGTGCCACCACTGGGGGTGGGGGGGAATGCGCCCAGGTGTCGTTTTTAATGGTTCTATAAAAATACCACCAAAGGTGGAAAGATGCACGGTTGCATAACCCTGTAATTAATGTATAAACTGCTCTATGCAGTCCAACCCAATTAAAGCATTCTCTGTTAGGCTTTCGCATTACATGATACTGCACACTGTCTCTGAGCATGTTCATCGTAAAACAGGTTCTCTGGCCAGAAAAGAGAGGCAAAGAAGGACCTCAAAAAAGGAGGTAGTCTAAAATTCCAAGAAGACAATGCTGCTCACTTATCTCTCTGTAGAACACATTTTCATTGTTTTCTCAATCTTTGTGATCCAACAGAGGTGTTATCCAGAAACTTCCGTGCCATGCTGATGATCACCTCGGTGATGCATTTGAAACTGAGACATGGACGTCAGAGCTTCATGGAATGAATATAACCTGCCCTTGGCAAATGAGGCAGGTTGAAATAACTGGAGGGCTCTGCAGGCCCCACTGTGACAGATCTTTCTTGGCCCCTCATGATGGTGTCCACAGCGGAGCATGGCTATCTTACGCACAAGTATCTCACTCTGCCTGGTAAAAGTAGAATTCAGATTTAAGTCACCATAAGACTTTATGGTCTGGCCAGACAGGACTTTCAGGATTTATTTCTTAACTGTCCCTAGATGAAGAGATGTGTGGCTCTCTGGAGAAATAGAACTTTAAAGGAAAAAAAAAAAGGCAGGTATTGAAACCCATCAATGAAACCTGTCAACCCATCCACTCAAAGCTGTCTAATGCCATGAAAAGCTGTTTAATGACCATTGTTTCCAATAGAAGAGCGTAGTAAACTGCTTCACTACTCCAAGGGTGGACAGTGTTGACATGCCCCTGGAACTTGGGAGGGCTCAGAATCTTGGGCTCTGTCCCAGACCTACTGAGCTAGAGTCTGCCATGTTGCCAGCCCCCGGAGTGATTCCTGCACACATCAGAGCTGGAGAGGCGTGGCCCTGAGGAAGCCCTGCACAGGTAGGGATTTGGTAAAGAATATGTGGTAATCATTTTCTACAGGCTTCTGTTTTCCTTAGAGCTTTCTAAAATGTCCAATGTTTCTACCTTGTTGCCTTGGCACAATTTTGTAAACCCTGGATGTTTCTAGACAGCAGAAACCCACAAGAGGAGCAGCTCATGTCCTCCAAGAGAGAGTTTTCTCGGATTGTCACCCAGACCTCTCCTCTCAAGTGCTGGGTTTGGGTCAAGTTTACAGTTTGAGGTTTGACACACAATGTAGGGAGGCTCCCGTGCGCTCCATCTATCAAGCTGGTGGCCACATGGATATAAACAGAAGGCTTTTTTTCCCCCTCCAGGGGCCTCAAACGCTGAGTTTGCACCTAGTTTGCATTTTGGAAACACATCAATCCTGTGAGTTCTTCCAGACGCACACCACGTGTTCACGGGGCAGCGTTGCAGGTGGCCTCCGTTGTCCCCCATGGGCTGTCCTCCCCGCGGGAGACCTGCCTCTGTCTCCAGCCCTTGCAGATGTCATGTCCTGTGTTTTGTTCTAAAAGGAGGGACCCAGGCTTACATTGTCCCCACTTGGATTGGCCTAACCAGAGTCCAGAGGACCCATTTACACAGGCATCCAGGAGTTTGGCTACCTCTTTCAAATGCATCTGGATCCTTTCAGGTCTGCCCTGGGCCAGGAATCTTGTTTGGAATGGTTTCTCCTTACAGAATTTTGGCTCTTCAGCTTTTGGTGCCATTTGAAACCAGGAGGGTAAAACTGGAAAACTTAAACAAACCCTCTTTGAATGTTAGAAATGTTCAGCATTCGAGGTTTGGTCAAACGACGGAAAACATTCTGGGTTGGTACTGAACTTTCCAGCCCGTTTCTCCAACCTTGAGGCTAATTTTAGCATGAGATTCAGGCAGGGAAAGCTAAAGGAAATGAAGCAACTAAAATTATTCTGAGTTGGAGAAGCCAGAATTTACATTGGTTAGATAGTGTAAGACTCAATAATTCAGTTGAGGTGGCAAATAATGAGTGTCCCCAATGTGAGCGGAGCACCTGGCTTCGGGGACTTTGGATTTTTCTTGTAATGGCTACTCATTTTCCTGGTAGTAGGCAAATTAACGAGCTTCCACATGACTCCTTACCAACTGAAGCATAACACTACCTTTTTCACTGGGGTGTTGTGAGGATCAGTAATTTTTGGACTATGCAAAGTGGTTTTGAATGGAATTAAAAGAGACCCATGGTTGATGCTTCAATATGGAAACGTGCAATAGGTGAATTTTAATACTTGGACTTGCCAGGTATCACAAACACATGATGTCAGGACCCTATGTGAGAGGTCTGGGTAAGAACAAGTTGAAGATAGCCTATGTAGCCGATGTTGGGGGAATCTTTAGTGTTCATCACTTAATTTT